GGGATGCAATCAGGGAATATCCTGAGCTGGTGGGGACCTGTGAGGTTCATCCAGTCCAGCTCGTGGCCTTGCACAGACACCCTAAAATCCCACCCTATGCATCCCTGAGAGCATTGTCCAAATGCTCCTGGAGCTCTGGGAGCCTTGGGAATGTGCCCATTCCATGGGGAGCCTGTTCAGTGCCTCACCACCCTCTGGGGGCAGAACCTTTTTCTGATATCATATATTTTCCTAATATATGGGATATAAGCCCTGAGAAGAACAGCAGTCTGTTCTTAAATCCATTATTGCTCTGGCACAGTGACACTAAAATACCAGTGAGGCTGTGACCACTGCAGGAATATAAATTACTCCAAACTGGCTCCTAATGCCCCAAAATGAAGGACATTTTCCTTTTCTAATCCTGCTGAATCCCTGGATATGTCTGGGCAGCACTCTCAGGCACGTGGTGGATTCTTGGAGTTGTCCTGTGCAGGGTGAAGGATTGAACTTCAATGATCCTCGTGGGTCCCTTCCAGCCCAGGACATTCCAGGATTCTGTGATATTTGCTGCAAAAATGATGAATACAGGTTTCACTCCCACGAAGAACCAGGGGTAGGGACCCTCACCAAGGTTGGGAAATAACCTTGAAGAGTTTGTCAGGCATTCCAAGGATGGAGAAGGGGTGGAGGGAGTAAGCACAGCCTGGTTTGTCATGGAGATTTCCACCTCCAGCACTGCCTGTTCCCTTCATCCAAGTGAATAATGGCAAAGCTCTTTAACTGGGAGGCTGCATGGACTTTTCTTTTGCTGACATTTTAGTGGCTGTTCCCTGGAGGCACCCAGTTAGCTCTCAAACCCTTCAACGTGGAAAGCTGAGCTGAATTAATTACAGTTTATGCTCCAAAAAGGAAAATAAGACCTCTGATGTGCCTTATTTGCTTGATGTTCTTCCTCTTTTCAGCAGACAACCCTTAGGTGGCTTTTCTTTCTGTTGCAGCTCCTTTGTTTTTTTGTGTTTTCTTTCTGCATTAATTGGAAGGTCTGACACTTCCAGCCCAAGACATTTACCAGCATGGTACAGTTTTAATTAATCTCACAATAAAGCTGCTAGAGGTGAACTCGTAAAAGGACTTTCAGGGCAGGAATAATGCACACAGAGACATGGGACACACTCTGGTGGGATTGAGAGGATTTGGGATGTGGGAAGTTCGTGACACATCCCTGTGGGCTCTGGGACAGCAGCACAAGCCAGGTGTGTGCTCCTAAAATCAACATATATCCCACAAAATACCCCCAACACACTGAAAAGAAAACAATTCTGCAAAGATGAAGTCTGGGTTCCCAGAAGGTTCCTCCTGCCACTGGAACGAGCTTGGCTATCCTTTGATGGCTAATTAACTAATAAGAATTAAACATACAGAGATCACCTTTTATCTACTCTTTTTTATAGCAATTTGCTAAGAAATGGCAAATTTCAGTCCTCTAGGACTTCTTTCTTGTACCTATATTTGAGCTTCAAGTGGATTTTGACTCTGAGCATCCAAGCCAGGATCAACAGGTGTTGGAAAAGTTCATTTTCTGATCTAAACTTCTTAACCAAAGCTCACTTCTACCAGACAGGTGTAAACTGGCTCTGAAACGAGGTTGGATGGAACTATCTAGAGCTAATGAGGATAAATCAAGCAGCACCATATGTCAAACTGAGGGTGGTTTGGGTGGGAACTGCAGAGCCAAACCCAACTGTGCTCACAAAATTCTAATTACCAGGTGGGGATTGCATCTGGATTGAGGAATGGCAGATTTAGAGTCTTTCAAAACTGAATTATCTGCTCCTTCTTCAAGTCCTCTGCTGGCCACAGTGGCCAAGCTTGATGTGATCGAGATAAAATAACTCACAATATATTTTTCTAAGGTAGAAATAAGAGGTGAGAATGGCTGACATAATAAATTATAATGTAAGCATTATAAATTATAAATGTATAAATTATAAATTGTAAGTTACAAATTATAACGTGATATATATTATATATTATAATTATAATCTGATACCTTTTGGCGGCATCTTCTCGTAATAATTTTTGGGTTTTTTTTAATTTGGATTCAACACAGTTTATTGGATTCAACAAGTTTAATTGGGTGAAACCCTGAGGCATAAAATTTATTCTTTATGAACAGGTGATACGTTCTTGATCAGAAGCTTAAGGAAGGTGGAACAACCTCATTCATGGCCAAACAATCTTAATTTTTAACCTTCTTGAAAGAATCACAGAATCTTGGAAAGGACCTTTAAGATCATCAAATCCAACCATTAATTCACCACTGCCAAGGCCACCATAATTATAGAAATCTGAATGACTCTCTCCCTGAATTGTTCTTATAACTTTTTTTGCTCTGTGGTCTGTTCTGATTTTGTTTTTATGCTCATGGCAATAGATTCAGTTGAGAAAAGTGAGTTTGTGTTGGTTTTTGTTTGAGTTTTTCCCCCCCATCCTCACTTTTTCCTTAAAGACTTTTCAGTAGCTGCAGTTGGCTCCTCTGGGTGACTTGGCACAGGCATTAGTGCAATGGTAAATAAACCCCATCGTGTTTCTACCTGAAGTTTTCTAAAGCTTCTGCCACTTGCCAAAGGCAAAAATGCACATTTTCAGCTTTTGCTTATAGACTATCAACTGGGATTTGTGGGTAGGGGTGAGAAAAACAATTTCTGATACAACCAGGAAAGGTCTTTGTACGGAGGTGGAATTTTGCCTGATCTATATTTCTATTAAAATTAAAACAAATAAATAAATAAAAAGCCAGTTCATTTCGAGGTGCAACCAAGATGGATCTTAGTCTGTCACTCGAACTCTCCTGAATGCAGTGCCAAGTAAAAAATTGTCCCTGGGATCCAGGTGCATTCCCTTGTCATTTGTCAGGAGTAACTGTTCTGCAGTTTAGAGCTGGCAGTTCTCAGTGGCGTTTCATCAGGATAATACCACACTCTATCATCTGAGGGAATAAACTCTCCCTGCTGACAGGAACTGGGGTGAAGACACCAGCAATTGACTGGATATTACAGAGGCTCTCTGAAGCTTATTCAATGGAAAAGGGACTATCAGGTCATTGGGCCCAAATTGTGTGTTTGGCTTCAAAAGCTGTGAAGGGCTTAAAAAACATAAGAGGAATCAAAATCTGTGAGACAGGAGGTCAGGCTGGGCAGTCCCTTCAACCTTTGAAACCTCTCACTGAAATACTTTAATTAAAAAGGAAAAATAAAAGAAAAATAGATGATAAAATGCAGTGTTTTGGCAGTACCTGGGTGTTTCAGGTCCTACTCTAATGCCTTCTGAGCTGCAAAAGCAGGGCTAGAGCAAGAGAATATCCAGCCTGGTAGCCTTCGTCCCTTTCTTGCTGGGATGTCTCTCTGCAGGGATGGGACAAGAGATGGTTGGAAAGATGCACGGGCAATGGAGAGTGGAGCTAATGCTCTCCTTGGACCAGCAGTGGTGGTGGCAGTGGGGACTGGTGGTGGCAGAAGGTCATGGGAGGGACGCAAAGACATCACAAGACCTCAGTTCTCACAGGAAGCCAGAAAGATCAATGAGATCCAGGGAGTTCACCCTGCTGCAGAAGATCTCCTGTTGTCCATTTGAAATGAATTAACTTCATTTCAAGGTGCCACATGCCCACAGCCTGCCTGATGTGCTGATTGCTGGGAAATCCTGCAAGTGATGAAGGGCTACAGGGAGAGGGAAAGGTCACAGGGGACATTGACCAGGGTGTGGACAGGGACTGCACCAGGCTTCTTAGCATGAGGAAGACACACAACCAAAGGATATGATAATCTGCAGGTGCTTTTATTGAAGAGCTCTGGGATCAGGGGTACAGACCCAAATCTGACTCCGACATGGCTTTCGAGCTGAACGTATTTTATATTCTATGGTTATATAACTTGCATATTAATTATTAAACTTATATGGTTCTATTGTATACATTGATCTTATTCAAGCATGATCTTTCTCAAGCCCCCTGACCACAGTTCCTCATGATTATTCTTATGATTAAACAGTAATTAATTACTAAACAATCATTGCGTCTAACAATTATATCACATACCGGTTACACAGGTTCAGTTCTAGCAAGTACAAGGCCTATACTTTCCCAAGGTATTACCCCAGTGTTGGAATCTGAGGTATTGGTGATTCTGAGATTGTAGAAAGTCTCTGTCTGTCAGCCCCGCTGCCAAAGCAGAAGCCATAATTGGTCTGTGCTGGTTTCCAGGTTGTTTATTCTGTTTATCTCTAACGTGTTCTGCTGCCCTGCCCAGCTCTGTCCTGCAGGGCAGCGTGTGGGGCTCTGCCCTCAGTGGGATGTGACAAACATTAAATACCAGAAACTCCCTGGGCTGGATTTACAAGAACGTGCCAATATCTGTCACCTACGTTGGACAGTGTGTCCCCAGCCTGAACCAACAGAAAAATGCCAACACCACAGTGAGACATGGAGGGCATGAAGAAGGAGAAAAAGGACAAGACACACCCAATTTCCTCCATCTTGTCCCCTTTGGACCCCTCATCTAGAATCCTAAAATTTTACTTTTGCACCCATGCCACACTTAATTATTCCTTCTATCAAACACTCAGAGCTGGTAATTCATCCTGTAAGATTGAAAACTCTTTTCCATGGCCAGAGATTACAGACAGTGTCTCTGGGGGCTCTGTCCAGGGGGGTTTCTGACCCCTGCCAGGGTCCCAGGCCTGCCAGGGCAGCCAGAGGGAAGCTCTGGATTCTCACATCCCAGGGCCCACTAAGCCTAACTTTCCTTCTAGCTCTCCAAATCCCCATGATTTTAAAACCCTTTTACTCTCAGGCTGACCTCTGGAGCAAAACCATCCCCATCCTCCTGCCTGCCCAGCGCTGCCCGGGAGTTCCTGCAGGAGCACGGGCGCCAGGGGAAGGGGACAGGGATGGTGGCACCTGCATCCAGCGTTGTGAGCCACGTGAGGAGCCTGACAGGTTGTCCCCTTTCCTCCTGCAGCTCACCAGGGTGCCCGTGGAGTCGTGCAGCCAGTACGAGACCTGCAGCGAGTGCCTGGGCTCGGGGGACCCGCACTGCGGATGGTGCGTCCTGCACAACACGTGAGTACCCATGGGCTCTGCCACTGAGACAGAGTGAACATTTAACAGGGTAGAAATCCATTTGGATTTAGGTGAAATGTGCCACTTTGAGCTTGCTAAATATGCTGTTTAGTGTGGTAACTGCAAAGTTGCCCCAGCTAAGGAGAAAAGAATGCAAATTTCCACACTAAAAAGGTAAGAGATAAGAAAGACTCTTTGGACCTTAAAACAGCACAGAGTGACCCAGGAGTTCTTTCTGTACTTTCTGACAAAAAATGAGTACAAGTGTAACTAGCTGTAAATATAATGTGAAATCAGCAGAATGAATATGCATGAACCTATTGTGAAATTCTATGCGTATAGAAATTAGCTAAGGGTAATAAAAAAAGATCAGGGTTTCTCAGGGGGTGCATGCCCTTTGAAGGGAAATCCCAGCGCTGTAATAAAAACATACCGTCCCTACAAATCTGTACTGGAATTGTGGGGTTTTGATTTTTCATCTACCACCATGCCAGCCCTGCCTGTCCCCACCACCTGCCCTCGTGCTAGCACAGCTGATGCCTGGAGAGGCGACCTAGAACAGAGTCAATTCAGGCAAGTAGCAGTTTTCTTTATTAAGCAAGGATTTAAGTGGTTTTTACCATTAATACATGAAGGTGATACATGTATCATGTAATAATGTAAATAATAATGTAAATCATGTCTCATGAAAAAACCGAGCTTACTTGGTAGCAAAGCCATATCCACCGAAATGAAGTGAGCAATGACATTGTTAAAACCTAAGAGAACAGTGATGGTTGGATGATAATCTACCCTTTAAGGTGATAATCTTAACCTTTGATTCTAACAAAATTCAGTAATAGAAGCGTTCTGAAATTTACAGGTTCAGGGTGTTCAATACAACAATTTTCTTAGGACTGAAATGTGCTTGCTTACCTCACTGCATCATCTATTACCATTGTGAGAAAACAGTACACTTCCTTTTTCTTATATTTTGCACTTAGCAGCACACTAGACGTGGTTTATTTTCAACAAGCTAAATAATCAGTCAACTCGATCCAGATTATTTATTTACTTTTCTGCATAGGGATTTCCTGTTAAAGGAATAAAGTAGAGATTTATTAAAAGGCCTTCAAAGGATACATCTTGGGCAGTGTAAGAGCCTGGCTATGGCTACACCCAAGAAGGACTCTTAGTCATGAGTTTTCACATTTTATAAGTTTTGGTCCATTTCCATGTTGGGGTTCATTGTCCATTTCCAGCTCCAGGTGATGCAGTCCCATCCTCCCAAATTGCTCACCTCAATTCACTGTTGTTTGCACTTTTTGGGCTCCAATCTGCCCAAAACCCAAGCTGTCCTTGGTTCTGGGGCTCGAAAGGGATTGTTTTGTCTGACTGAGCTGTGAGGAGAACTTGCTGACACTTTATATGAAGTTCGGAGTTACACACGAATGCAGTACAGAATCTGGAAAATATGAAAGATGAAACTTAAGGCATCAAGGTAGAGGGGCAAAACGCTGTCACAGTCCCTGGCTGAGCCAGGTACATCCAAAAAAATCTCTGAATTTGCTGGAGAGAGACTTTGCTTAATTGTGAAAAGTTTTTTTTTTGGAAGACGAGGGGAAAGAAGGGTGGTAGAGGTTGGACAGAGCTTCTCCATCAGTTTGCTGACTGATGTGTTTTGAATTAAACACTCCAACAACTCTTCTCTGAGTCACATTTTCCTGGTGGTTTCCATTCTATTCAATAGAATTTGACACTGACCATTAGCCTTTGTCTCAGCAACTCCAGCTTTTCACTGCTGGAAACTCTCCTCTTTTTGACTTGTCATGATCTCCATTGCCCTTAGAGAGGAATCAGATCCCAATAAACAACATGGGATCCACTCCAAGGCAGTTTTCATTGGGATCTTATGGTTTAACAAGCCAAGCAGGGGCCTCATTCCACTCCCCCATTATTCTGTGGTACTGGTTTGCCCACTGCTTCACGAGGATCCAGGTGTCCTCATACTGGGTTGTCAGTTCATTCTTGTTTTTCCTTAAGCTTTTTAGTGATGCTATTGATCTTGCCTCTCTGCAGCCTTTCCCTGAATGATCTCCTCCTGCAGGGAGCCCTCTGCCAAAGCTGTGGAGAGGGAGGTGTCAGCTTGGCTGAGCTCCTGGCTCTGAGTGACAGGGAGGCCTCGTTTGCCAAGCCCCTCTCAGCAGAGACTGTGGCTGGGAAGTGCATGGGATCTGTCCAGCCAGGGCTCCAGCTGGGAGTGGCTCTGCAGGGTGTTGTCACTCCCAGCCTCACGGTGTCCTTGGCAGCCTTGGAGGGTTTTTCTGATGGGCCCTGCTCTTGTTGGTCTTCACCCGAGTTCTTCCCGTTGAGCTGCAAAGTCTCCAGGTGGAGACAGGGATCCAGTTGAAGTGATAGACTTTGCTACCTCTCCTTGCTGGAACAGAAGGGAACAAACCTGGACCATATTCCAGCCTTCTGTCAATGCTCTGAATGTTCTGCTTCTGTCAGCTTGTGTGACCCTCATCCAAAACCACGGCAGTGCCTAATTTCAAATCAGATCTGGGGGATCTGTCCCAAAACATGTCCAAAAATGGGGCTTGTGCTCTGGAATTGTTCAAGAGAACCTTGGCAAACCAGTCCTGAATTGTGGTGTGGTTGGTAAGAGCCCAGCAAATTTCATCCTGCTGACCTGAGGATATTTCCATTTGACACAGAGCTTTATAGTGTGTTCCCATCCCATCTCTCCTGCATCCATCCTCCAGGACACCGTGTGCTTGTTGTCAGGGAAGGGACAGCACAGATACGTGCAAGAAAGCATAAAAGGCATGGATTTGTTCATTGACTGTGCCACAGCAATGCTGGGCATTTCATCTCCTTGCATCCAGGGTCAGTGGCAACAAACAATCAAAACATGCAGCAAAAAATCCCCAGAAGGAGAGAGAAGGGCCACAGACAACTGCAAAGTGTGCAGCAGTTCATCTCGAGGAGCACTGGAAATGAAATGAGGGTGATGGGTGGGGCTGGCAAATTCAACTTGGTCAAAAAAACATCTCTGTCCAATCTCAATCCTGAGGGGGAAGTGTGTCTGGAGTCTGGACCTGGCTGAAGGCAGTGTGCCCTCCTCCCTCTGGCCACTCAGCCTCTGATTCCTTACCTGGAAAAGATAAACACCTCTTATTTATGTACCTCGCAGCAGGGTCACTGAGATTGACTCCCTGTGGGGGTTTTTTTGAAGCACTTTGAAGGCAAATCTTATCAAATCCCACTTCAAGTCTGTTGCTTCCCTCTAGGTTTCCCCACAGTTAAGAATTCAGATTTTCAGTCCTAGTTTGGGAGGGGTTTTCAGTTCAGCCTCAGGTGCTCCTTTCTGAGTTTCAGTTTTCTCATCCTTTTGGGCAGCCCTGAGAGCAAAGGAGCCAATTACATCCCACTCAACAAGTTTTGGCTGCACAGGGTATTCGGGGTAAGGACACTGGAATACTGAGTCTCTCATTAGAAATTTTTGCACATCAGAACCCCTCGAGCCTCATTAACAGACTTTTCCTCAAGCGGGATACGTCATCAACAACTCCTGCACAAGGATCCCTGGGGAAAAATGCCATAAACATTTCCCATCCTGGCTGCTAACCCTTCCCTCTTCCCTCCCAGTCAGGAATCCCAGGGGATTCCCAGTGCAGGGCTGAATCCAGTTGTGAAAAACGCCAATCACTTGGTTTTTAACATTTTAAAAGTTTAATAATAATAAAATGGTTATAAAAATAATCATAAAATTAGAGTAATAAAGTTTAGAGTTAGGGCAATTACAAGACAATAAAAAGCAAAGAATTACGGACGTCTGGATGCTCTCGGACACTAAGTCACAAAAAGCATCCCTTGTGAACAAAGGAATAACCCTTAAACCAATACACTTGTTGCATATTCATACATTCTTCATGGTTATGCATACATTCTATTTAAAACAAGAAACTCTGTCTGGTATATGTCAGCTACTTCTTTTAATCCCCTGGCATCTTCTGTCTGAGCAAGGCCTGAAGAAATTAGCTTTTTCTGATAAGAAGCCATAAATTCCTCTCCTTTGGAAGGTGTTCCTCAAAGCGAGTATCTCATTCCTAAAATAAAAACTTCCCCACATACATAGTCTCCATTTTAACATTATGTTGTAACCTAAAACTATATTTAACACACTACTTAAGAAAATTAATACAGCATAACTTTCTAACATTACACATATAATATTAATTGTAACATTTGTGAAAAGCCAATCATAAAATCTGCATTTTTCACACGGTGATGTGGAAGGCACGAGGAGGCAGCTGGGCTGTGCAAGAGCCGGGGCAGAGCAGGGCTGGGAGCCAGGTTTTTGCTCCTCCTCCAGTATAAACCATCAAGAGGAGCAGTGCTGGACTGGGAGACAGGTGAAAACTGCCCAGTGGGTTTTGCCCTGATTTTTAAAAGTGCTAAGTGTTCTTTTATAATTCTTTTAAAAGTTTTAAAGTTCTTTCAAAAGTTTTCTATGCCTTCTGATGTTTACATATTTCTACTGGAGTTCTCATGCACTGTTCATGTAAATAATGATTGTTTTGCATTCTTTGTGAGAGGAGAGAATTGATGGACTGTTAGTTTGACCAGTGTAGTTGGAGAGGTGGCAATTCCATCCTCCAATCCGCTGTCACTTTTAGAATTCTATATATTGTGAGGTCAAAAATTAAATTAGCTCTTTTCCTCTTTTGAACCTAGCAAGTTTCTGTACACTCATTTCATGTCCAATAGTGACAAATGGGATGGTGGTTTTGTCTCTCCCATGCACACCTCTCTTATTTTGGGATTTTCCCTCCAAGGGCTGATCGCCAGACCCCCATTTCCAGCTATCCTCATCTCCCACCACCAAGAGGTCTGGGCTTGGCTCTCTCATCCCTCTTTTAGAGCCGGGCTGTCTGTGCCCAGGGCAGCGTGCCAGGGCTGGGGAATCGATTTCCACAGCTCTGCTGTCCTAACCTTACACCGAGAAACTCGAGTCC